GAATAGTGAGCAAGCCAGGCAGGAAGACTTGACAAGTGACATAGTCTGCTTTCTATTTCTGTGGTAACCACCATGACCAAAAGCAAGTTAAGGAGGAGAAAGTTTGTCGGGCTTACATGTCCTGATCACAGTCCAGCTATGAGGAAAGTCAGGGAACTCAAAGAGGAGCAGAGACAGGGACCATGAATGAATGCTGCTTGCTGGTTTGTGCCCAATGGCTTGCCCTGAGTTTGCTTTCTTTTAGAACTCAGGACCACCCTGCCCAGGGCAGCAACACCCACCCACATCAATTATCAATCAGGAAAATACCCCCCAATTTTTACTTTTACTGTCTTTTGCTTATCTATTATGGCTTCCAATTTTGTGTTTTTATAGGGCATGTGTGTCTACATGTGTATGCGTTTCTAAGTGTTTTTTGTTTTTCCATTTGTCTGTTTGCTTTGTTGTTTGTTTGTTTATTGGCCTACTTGTTTTTTAAAAACAGAAAGAAGTTCTGGTGTTGGGTGGGTGGGGACGTAGGGAGGGGCTGGGAGGAGATCAGGACAGTTTGAGGCAATCCAATGGCTGAGGCCCTCTTCTTCCCAGGTGACTCTAGTTTGTGTTGACAAAAACTAGTCAGCAGTGTTTTTTTTTCACTTTTAGGAATTTATTCTTTTATATTTTTAATATTCTCTTAAAATTTCAGGTATGTATATAATATATGTCAATTATATATACTGTATATCCTCCCATCTAACTCCCCCCACATGCTTTCCAACATACCTTTCCCACGATTGAATCAAATTAGTGCTACCCATGAACAGATGCATGCCCATGAGGCATGGTCAACCTACCAGTAACCACAGTCCTAAACAGCCCAACTGCCATCAACTGTTAGCTGGCAAATAATGCTCATAGATTTATGAAGTACAGCATTATATTTAGATATATGTGGCAAAATAATTGAATTGGGCCAATTCATGCATCTTGGACCTGCTCTCCCACAACACCTTTTCTTTTCATCAAAATATTCCATCTAATCCAAAATATTCCATCTAATCAAGCAGAAGAAGGCCTATATTATGCAGGAACCCTAACCCCAAACATCCCAGGTCATTGGTGACTCTCCCCATGTGAGAATTTTTTTACACTGCACAATTTGATAGAAAACCTAGCATGACCACTCTGCCTCCCTCTCCCACCCATGTGGGTATAAAGGATTATTAAAACCCTTTCTCCCTGGCAATCCCTGTTGATTCCATTAAGAATCTGTGGAGCTTCTATTGTGTTTGTTTGCTCACCAGGACTTATTGCTAGCTCAAAGTGAATACTACTCTCTTGGAAGGGGAGAAAAATTTTCACAGGGCAGTAGTGGCTCATGCCTTTATTCCCTTCTCTCCCCCCCCCTCTTCTTCCCACAACTCCAACCCCTTACCCCCACCTCCATGCTTCCACCTTTTACCCGGCAATCTTGTCTGCTTCCAATTTTCAAGATGATCCATATATGTTTTTCTTTGGGTTCACCTTGTCATTTGGCTTCTCTAAGCATATAAGTTTGTGAACTATAGGCTTAATGTCCTTTGTTTATGGCTAGAATCCACTAATGAGTGAGTACATACCATATTCATCTTTTTGGGTCTGGGTTACCTCACTCAGGATAGTGTTTTCTATTTCCATCCATTTGCATGCAAAATTCAAAATGTCATTATTTTTTTACCACTGAGTAGTACTCTAATGTGTATATATTCCACACTTTCTTTATCCATTCTTCCATTGAGGGGCATGTAGTTTGTTTCCAGGATCTGGCAATTACAAATAATGCTGCTATGAACATAGTTGAACAAATGCTTTTGTAGTATGATTGGGCATCTCTTGGGTATATTCCCAAGAGTGGTATTGCTGGATCCTGAGATAGATTGATTCCCAATAATATGGATTTCTAGAGATACATTCCAAAGTCAAATTATGCAGTTCTAATGTCATTTGAAATGTACATAAAAAGAATCTTTTGAGAGTAATGTATTCTATCATGTGTGTCTACCATTGCACAACAAGAGAGCCATTTCAAATGATTTTATGTTGAATTGTTCAAAGCAGTTCTTTAAAACCTATACCTAGATACATCATTAGCTACCTGAGTACTGAATGGAGAGATGTTTAAGTGGTTTTAATCAAAATCTATTGTTACCTCTGGTTTTAGTTGCATTTCTAGAAAATGGAATTTGGCTCAATTTGTATCTCTTGGTGATAAATGTTTTATGAAGAGCAATTAGTACTTTTAATTTTAAATGTTTTAAAAAATAGTAATAAAAGTTGGCCCACACTTTCAATCCCTGCAGCTTGGAGACAAAGACAGGATGATCCCTGTGAGTTTGAAGGTCAACCTTATCTGCATAATGAGTTGAGGTCAGCCAGGTCTGTATAGTGAGATCCTGTCTCAAATAATGAAAAAAAGAAAAATGAATACAAATAATGTAAGGAGACATTTTGTGTAACCAACTGAAACAAGCAAACATTTGCATAGTCCCAAGGAAGGCTGATGTAAGGCCGTTAGCATGGCACCATGAGAAAGTCAAGCCACAAGAGGACATGGAGATATGTGTTGATATTTTGTTTGTAATCTAAGAAATAAAGCTTGCCTGGAGGTTAGAGTGCAGGGTTACTGCAAGTTAGACATAGAGGGCAGACAGTAATGGCGCACACCTTTAATCCCAGCGCTCACAAGACAGGCAGACAGATCTCTGGGAGTTCAAGGTTAATCCGGCCTACTTGAAACAGTGGATTGAGCCAGTCAGTGGATTAACGTTTAATCCTGGTGTTTGAGATTCACACACCCTTACTACCAGCAATAGGGAGGTGGAGTCAAGAAGGGATTAAAGTTTAAGGCGGGGCAGAGAAAGCTATATAAGCAGGACCTCAAGTGCTATTTGAACATACCGTATGAGATTTGGTGGAGACCCAGCTCAGTCTAGGAAGTCTGAGGATCACCCATCTTGATCTGAGCTTGGATAGAGGTGAGTTTCACTTGGGGCTTACTGGTCTGTTTCTCTGATCTTTAGCGTTAACCCCTGCTTCTGACACTCGGTACTAATTATAAAGAACAGTTAGAACTCGTGCTACAGAGATGGGCAGCTACAATCACGAAGGAACAAAACTTGGTGTGGGAAAATAAGGAAAACTTATGCCTTAGTGCTTTCAAAGCACAAAACTTAGAAACATATATACAGATAGCAATTTGCTAAAACACGGCAACATGATCTCTCCCCTGGCAAAAGAGGGGCAGAAGGCCTCACACTCTGCAAGTAAATGACCAGGGCAGAAAATGACTGTGCTCTGTCAACTATAGTGAATTCTAGATCAGAATCAGGATCAGGACACACAAAAAAAGAGATAGGATTTAGGACACTAAAAAATCATTCAAGGGGATGAGCCGTGGAGCCATAGTGCTGCATACACAACCCTCACACGCGTCCTGTGAGCAAAACAAAGCAGACCCGAAAGAAAAGCGCACACTATTAGTTTTGTATATATGAAGTTCTGGAATAGCACAGTGGCTCTGTGGAAATAAATGTCACCACAGTGCTCATTTAAGAGATCACTCATGACAGGAGAGGAGCATGAACGATTTTAGTAGAGGTCTCACATACTCAGGTAAGAGGATGTGTAAAGTGAAATTTCTAAGTGTACATTCAAAATCTCTGCATTCTATTTGAATAACTTAGACACCATGAACCCAGTGCTGGCTTAAAGAAGGGCTACCCATCCCCCACATCAAAGGAACCCAATGGCCTCTGCTCTGAGCACCTATCTTATGGCTGGTTTACCTGCTCAACTCAAAGCTTAGGTTCCTGTGTGCCTGGGAGGGTCTGAGGGTTGTGTAGAGGCACTCCATAGAGAGAAGGGAGCAGCTGACCTCATTTCTTTTCTTGGGTGGTGTAGCATCTATACTGTTCCTTAAAACAGCGCAAATGTAAACGAGGTGTAAACTGCCTTCACATCTCATTTAGGAACAGATGAGCCAGGAAATGCATTTCACAGGCACAAGTGCTGCTGGTGAACGCTTAGCAAGCTGGCGCAGTCTCGCGGTACAGTGTTGAGCATTTGCTCCTCTTTCCGCGGGATCCAGGATTATTTCTGTGTTCTGACTGCTGGCCGGGTGGGAGGGAAAGGGGGCAGGGTATGAGTGTGGGAGGAAGGAGGGAGTTTCTTCTCTGGTCCTTAAGACTCCTTCCTTTCTCTGTGTGCCCAACTCCTACACATCTGCCAAAGACCAGCTTAGCTGTCACCTCCCTGGACAGCACTCATGCTCCCTGATTCTCATTCCTTTCTCCTCTAGACAGACACTGCACTTGACTCCTTCCCTCTGTCCTAATTTATCATGGCTGGCTCTATAGGATCCCTGCAGGCTAATTCTTGATCTCCGTAGTGGCTCAATTAATGATGTATAAAGTATGTGTATGTGTGTATTTGTGTGGTATATGCACACATGTGCATGCAGCGTACACACCCATGTACACACATGTAGGAGCTAGAGACAGATGTCAAGTGTCTTCCTACATCCCATCTTATTTTTTGAGACAGGGTCTCTCACTGAACTGGAAGATTGCTATTAGGGCTAGACTGGTTGACCGTTGAGATTTTGGAATCTGCTTGGAAATGTTTCACAACCCTTGAGTTACAGATATGTGTGTCTATGCTAGGCTTTTGAACGGGTGCTAAGGACAATCTGAGGTCCTCTTGTTTTCACACCAACTATTTTTATCCACTGAGCAGTCTCTCCTGCTCCTCAGTAATCTTTAAGGAATGAATGTGAACCGAAGTAGGAGAGATGGGGAGACTACAGCATAAAGATGCCTCTGTAGCAACTAACCCTTATGCAAACACCTCCCCAGAAATTCAAAAGCTCCACATACTTGAGTCATAAAATGTGCGCATTTGGGGCCAAGTGGGGGTGGGGTGAAGCTATGGGCGTGGCTTGGCACGGAGGGCGTGGCCTGGGCCTGGGGTATTCTGGGTGGCCAATGCCGGAAGTTGGCAAATCGGTAGCTGGCAGAGCCAGGGGCACTTGGCCCACAGCCTGCATGCGCCAAAGTGTGGCCTGTACCATTGGCTCCCACAATTCTAAAGTCGAACTCTCTTGTCCCTGCATCTCAACAGGTCAAGGCAGGTGACACAGACACCCCAGACATAACTATAGAACCAGAGAGCCTGGAAAATGAGCACCTTCTACTGACCGCCATTAATTGCATTCAAGGACATCAGTGAAAATAGTAACCTTCTTCGGATTTGAGAGAAGGAGAGAGGCAACCAAGAAGCTCACCCGGAGAAAGAGGTGTTTGCAGAAAAGATGCCACTGTTTGGGGAGCCCTACAAGACTACAAACAGGGATGAGTTGTCGCGTCGGATACAGAACATACTAGGAGACTACGAAGTTATGAAGGAGTTATGGAGATCTATGTCTTGTACTCAGTGTCCAAATGGTTCTGAAGACAGCCAGGGGAAGCCGAAATATCCTTCATTTCATGACAGGGAGAGCCTTGAATCCAACTCCTGTTGCACGCACATCTACCACAAGCTTTTCGGTACTTCTTCTGCCCGTGGATCACCTTTTGTTGGTAACATTAGCCACAGTTCAAAGATGGCACCACCAAGGATGGAGCCAGTGCCAAGTCTCCATGCCAAAAACTATGGTCCACCCGACAAACAGCATCTGACTCGAGATCGCCTCAGTCAGGAGGGGCACTCTTCAAACCACAAAAAGTGTGACCGCAGAGCTGATGGTGACTCAGCTCCGGCTAAAAAACTCTCACCCTTAATCTCCCCTGTGTCCCATTTGTCCCCTGTACATTCCAGACTGCAAAGAACCAGCAAGGTTTACAGCAGCAGTAGCACTAGCAATAAAGGCTACTGTGCGGACGTGTCTTCCAAGGACCTGAAGGTGAAGGTTCAAGATAACGCGACTCCTCTCGACAAGTCTTCCAAGGACCTGAAGGTGAAGGTTCAAGATAACGAGCCTCCTCTCGCCAGTTCAGTGGTAATTACGAGACTGGGGGTGGCCTCTTCTCAAACGTTTCCACCCCCACCCCTCCCCTCAGAAAGTGTTGCAATGCAGCAGAAGCCCATGACATGTATCTGGCCCACGGACGGTGAGAATCAGGCTCCCAGTGAGTCCTTGGGCCTGAAGACGCCACTGGAAGACAATGGTCAGCAGAGCTTCGAAAAATTGGATGTAAAAGTGCCAGCCAAAGCCAAACTCACCAGACTGAAGATATCTTCACAGTCGGAGTTGGTGGAGCAGTTGTTCTCCAATGAAGTCCGCTGCATTGAGGAGATTCTGAAGGAAATGACCCATTCGTGGCTCCCTCCTCTGACAGCCAAGCATAAACCCAGGACGGCCAAGACCAAGCATACACCCAGTACGGCCAAGTCATCCAGATCTCCTTTCCCTACAAAGGAGCCTCTGCCCAATAGTTCTGCAACCCAAAGCCAAAATCAATACGATCCGGCTTCCAAAATTTATCCCAATTCGCCGCAAAAAACATCCACACTCGGTGCGGACCTGCAGCTCAGTGATAGTGAAGAGAGCGACACAGAACAAACTACAGAGAAGCTTCCATCCCTATCTGCACCTCCAAGCGCTGCCCAGATTCTCCCCAAGCCGGATCCCAATTCCCAGCAAGGAACATCCATACTCTGGGAGGACCTGCAGCTCAGTGATAGTGAAGAGAGCGACATTGAACAAACTGTAGAGAAGCTTCCATCCCTATCTGCACCTCCAAGCGCTGCCCAGATTCTCCCCAAGCCGGATCCCAATTCCCAGCAAGGAACATCCATACTCTGGGAGGACCTGCAGCTCAGTGATAGTGAAGAGAGCGACATTGAACAAACTGCAGAGAAGCTTCCTTCCCTATCTGCACCTCCAAGCGCTGCCCAGATTCTCCCCAAGCCGGATCCCAATTCCCAGCAAGGAACATCCATACTCTGGGAGGACCTGCAGCTCAGTGATAGTGAAGAGAGCGACATTGAACAAACTGCAGAGAAGCTTCCTTCCCTATCTGCACCTCCAAGCGCTGCCCAGATTCTCCCCAAGCCGGATCCCAATTCCCAGCAAGGAACATCCATACTCTGGGAGGACCTGAAGCTCAGTGATAGTGAAGAGAGCGACATTGAACAAACTGTAGAGAAGCTTCCTTCCCTAGCTGCACCTCCAAGCGCTGCCCAGATTCTCCCCAAGCCGGATCCCAATTCCCAGCAAAAAACATCCATACTCTGGGAGGACCTGCAGCTCAGTGATAGTGAAGAGAGCGACATTGAACAAGCTGCAGAGAAGCTTCCTTCCCTATCTGCACCTCCAAGCGCTCCCCAGATTCTCCCCAAGCCGGTGGTGTCAGCACATTCCAGTAGTGCAAAGTCGGAAAATAAGGGTGAAAACCGCAACACTGACCAGCTACACCCTGAGTCCAAAGGCTCTCCCCCCAAGAGTTCCAGCAAAGCCGTCCAGGATCCCACTGAAGGGCCCCAACCTGAGGAGAGGAGCTGCCAGAAATCCCCTGCCCAACAGGAGTCCCCACCTCAGCGAACTATTGAAACCAAACAACCCAGAAATCCTGCCAAGGGCTCTGGCCAGGTGGAAAGTAAACCAGGACCCCTGCCTTCTGTATCAAAAAAACAGACTTCCAAAGACAAACCCGAGATGAATGCAAAAGGCAGGGAGCCTAAGCCTGAAGCTCCTATGCCCAACCATCAGGCAGCCGAGCCTGCCCCTAAGGAGAAAAGGAAGCACAAGGGTTCCCAGGCTCCCTCAGGCCCTCAGCTGTCAAAGGACAAAGCTCTAAACAGGAACTCTTTCACTCCACCCCACTGTGGTAGGGGCTGCAGTGGTGGCAGCAGTGGCAGGTCTAGCCACTGCCAACAAATTGCAAGTGTCCGGGAAGACGGTCAAAAGAGAGACACCGAATTGCTCTCACCGCTCAGGGACTCTTCACTACCAATGAGTTTGGTAGAGAAGATAAACCTAGATCACCTCACTCGGATTCCCCAGCCCCTGGGGCAGGGTGGCAGCCCTAGGAAAGCAGAAGACAGGCAGCCGCAAGCAGATAAGAAGCAAGACTCTGAAAAGAGAGACTGCAATGGCTCCAGCAGACTGAGCAAGAAGAGAAAGGGCAGCGACTCAGAAAAAGACCGTGCCAGCAAGAAAATCAGAAGGGAGAAAGATGTCCAGTCACATTGTACTTCTTCTTCCTCTTCCCATACTGAATCTTCCAAAACAGAGACTTCCAAAATGCCTTCTCTGCCACCTGTGTCAGCCTCTTCCTCCTCCCAGAAGTCAACCAAAACTGCAGGCAAGAAACCAAAGCCGGATGTAGACACCTGTGGTCAGGACCCTCCCAAAAGTGCAGGCAGTGCCAATGCCAATGACAAGGACTCTTCTGTTCCCAAGCCCAGAAAAGTGCCGAAAGTGCAGGCCAAGGGCTCGGAATACAAAGGGTCTTCTAGAGAAGCCACAAACGCGTTCCTAGTGCCTTCTTCGCCAAAGGGTAACTGTAAACCAGGGAAGCCACAAGTGAAACCTTACATGCAGAAAGCTAACTTTTACATGAAGGAAGCTCAAAGGTTGAAGTGTAAAGCAGCGGCAATGACGAACAAGATCAAAAAGGCCTTCAAATATTTGGAAGCTGTCCTGTCTTTAATTGAGTGTGGGATGGCCATGGAGTCAGAAAGCTCAGTAAAGGCAGCGTACGCTGTCTACTCAGAAACTGCAGACCTCATTAAGTTCACGATGTCATTAAAATCCTTCTCGGATGCCACGGTGCCAGCACAAGAAAAGATATTTGACGTTTTATGTTTACGTTGCCAGTCACTGGTGAACATGGCGATGTTTCGCTGTAAAAAGGACATAGTAATGAAGTATTCTCACTCTCTTGGTGACCACTTCAACAATTCTTCTCTCTGCACAGGTATTCCGTCCTCCCTCTCCCCAGTGCCTTCTCCTGCCAGATCTGTCAGGTCCCAGTCAAGTGCTGGTGGGATGATGGCCACCGTCAGTGTCCCAGTCACCATCCAGAACAAGACCTTTGCCTATTTCACCATCACAAACCACCTCCTTAAAGCCTTGGAACTCTGGGAACAGTCAGAGGCCCTTACAAATGAGAATAAAAAATTCTTTGCTCAGCTCAGCACAAAGGTGCATATCTTGAGCCTCGCCTCAACAGCAGCCTGGTGGACCTGGTGATCTACACAAGGCAAGGTCTGCAGTGGCTGAAACAAACACCCAAAACTCCCTAAAACAGGCTGGGATTACTTGACGCTTGAGCTGTCTTTGCGCAATTGGAAACTTTGATCTAGTGTAGACCACTGTTTGATGGCGACGACACACTCAGGAAGTGAAGCACCATGATGGTCAGAATTTTTGCTCACAAGTGCTGTGTGGCTATCGGTCGGATACTGGTTAGCAGAGTGGACGGTGGAAAATGACCTGCCTTTCCTATGGAAGGACGGAAGTGCAATGGAGCCTAGCTAGTGACCTTTCTGGTTGTTTTCTGTTTGTTTGAACAATAGGATACAGGTTGCCAATGAAAGGACAAGAAGCAGTTTCTAGTATCACAGCAGATACCTGTCATCTCAGTAGCCACATGAGTTTACTTCCAGAAGGAACTTTTGTTTTTGTGAATAATAATTTTTGGTGAAGGATTTTATGGATATAAATATATATTTTAAAGAAAACATTGTTTAATAAATTCTAATGACTTTTAATGAAATGAATAAATAAATGAATAAAAACATTGACATATTTGCTGTGGGACAATGGTCTTTTATCCTGTCACTTGTATTATTTTTAATAAAATGCTGATTGGCCAGTAGCCAGGCAGGAAGTATAAGAGGGGTGACCAGGCAGGAAGTAGAGGCAGGGCAATGAGAACAGGAGAATTCCGGGAAGAGGAAAGAGGCAGTCTACAGTCATCATCCAGACACAGAGGAAGTAAGATGTGACTGCCTCACCACAAAGGTACCAAGCCACGTGGCTAACACAGACAAGAATAATGGCCTAATAAAAGCTATAAGAATTAATAAGAAGCCTGAGCTAATAGGCTAACCAGTTTATAATTGATGTAGGCCTCTGTGTATTTATTTGGGACTAAACAGATGTGGGACCTGGTGGGACAGAAACCTCAATCAAGTCAACAGCCATTTCAAGCTAGTAATTTTCACTGTAACTTTTATTCCTGCTGACGAGTTTTCATAATGCCAAAAGGTGCTGTGCATGCTAACACAGAAAAGGAGAAAAGTAGTCATCAGTCTTGCCCAATTCTGAACACTACGAGCTGCTCTGGCGCCATAGTGGCATGGTTATTGTGGAACAACCAACCATTTTCTGATTGAATTTAAGTCCTGCTCAACAAGATGAAATCCATATCTGGCACCAGTGTCACACTAAGAACCTGTGTTTAGTCAGGTCATAGACAAAGAATAAGAGATCATGAGATACTTAGCACTAAATGGGACGTCTCATACCACAATTCCTCCTCCCAAGGCTCTGGAATCATTTTTAAAGAGGGGGTAGATTGATAAAAAGAAATAGTGTCTTCCTGATACAGCAAGGTAGTTGCAAGTATAAGCCACAGCAAGCCATGTGAAAGAGTTCTTGTAATTGGTTACTGAGTACCTGGAGTCATCCCTGAAAACATTATATACACACAACACTGAGTGGACCCAGCAGGCTGTGTTTATATGTTTGGATATATAATATGCATTAATGTGTAACAAGAATAATTAGAAAAAAGGAGGTCATGATTTTAAGAAGGAGTAATGAAGTGACACTCAGGAGAGATTGAAGGAAAGGAAGGTTTTATGATTATGTTTTAATTTAAGAAATAAGAATTAAAAGTGAAAAGAGTGTTGCCCTTAGTAGGTTGACCCCTAGTAAGTTGACTATACTTCAGTGGAAGGTCACACATGCATGCATATACTGAGAAGCACAAATTGGACCTGGTAGGTAAAGTACAAAGAAGATACAAAGTTGCACCGGTAGGGAAAGGAGGATGGATCTGGGAGGAGTGGGTTGGGCAGTGAATACAATCAAAACACACTGCCCAATTTCTCAAAGAACTAACCTAAAAAAAGATATACAAAGTTTCAAAGGCTCCTAAAGAAATTTTTTAACTGTTTCTGTAATTCCATGTGTCTTCAAGACACACATGTACACAAACCTCCAAAGCAAGCTTCCTGAACAAGATCAGTGTAGAAGTTAGGGAGGTTGATCATTAAAAGTCATGTGTTATTCACTTCTATGACAGGAGCTGAGATTCCACACTGATGATGGCTATGTCTCCATCATGTATACCAAAGTGATGGGTGAGCTCTCCTGGTCTTTGCCCAGTACTAAAGGCCAATGTATTTACAGTCTCTGGATACTGCCTGATGATGGTTGGATATGTCTTTATATATATAACAACTCATATGTTATATGCTTTAAATTAACCAAAGCAAGGAAGAGGCCAAGCTAAAACATAGCAAATCCAGCGTGTTAGCCATGGTGCCCTCAGAAAGTCCCCATGGCTGAGACAGCAGCATTCTGTGGAGATACAAGAGTGAGACTTGTCCCAAACGTGAACATTGAATAAATGGGACCTACTGAAACTGAGAAGCTTCTGTAAAGCAAAGGACACTGTCACTAAGACAAAAAGGCAACCTACTGACTGGGAGAAGATCTTCACCAACCCCGCAACAGACAAAGGTCTGATCTCCAAAATATATAAAGAACTCAAGAAACTAGACTGTAAAATGCTAATTAACCCAATTAAAAAATGGGGCACTGAACTGAACAGAGAATTCTCAATAGAAGAAGTTCAAATGGCCAAAAGACACTTAAGGTCATGATCAATATCCTTAGTGATCAGGGAAATGCAAATCAAAACAACTTTGAGATATCATCTTACACCTGTCAGAATGGCTAAAATCAAAAACACCAATGATAGTTTTGCTGGAGAGGTTGTGGAGGAAGGGGTACCCTCATCCATTGCTGGTGGAATGCAAACTTGTGCAACCACTTTGGAAATCAGTGTGGCAGTTTCTCAGGAAATTCAGGATCAACCTACCACTGGACCCAGCAATACCACTCTTGGGAATATACCCAAGAGATGCCCTATCATATGACAAAAGCATTTGTTCAACTATGTTCATAGCAGCATTATTTATAATAGTCAGAACCTGGAAACAACCTAGATGTCCTTCAATGGAAGAATGGATGTAGAAAGCATGATACACATTAGAGTTCTATTCATCGGTAAAAAAAAAAAAATGACTTCTTGAATTTTGCATGCAAATGGACGGAAATAGAAAGCACTATCCTGAGTGAGGTATCCCAGACCCAAAAAGATGAAGATGTTATGTACTCACTCATAATTGATTTCTAGCCATAAATAAACGACATTGAGTCTATAATTTGTGATCCTAAAGAAGATAAATATGAAGGTGAACCCAAAGAAAAACATATAGTTATCCTCCTGGATATGGGAAGTAGACAAGATTGCCGGGCAAAAAATTGGGATCTTGGGGGTGGGGTGGGACGGGGGTAAGGGGAGATGGGGAGAGAAAAGTGAGAAGGGGAGGATGGGGGGAACTTGGGGAAATGGGATGGTTGGGATAAAGGAAGGGTGGATATTGGAGCAGGAAAGCATATATGTTAATCAAGGCAGCAATCTTAGTTTTGGCAAGAGACTTAAACCTAGAGGTGCTCCCAGGTGCCCAGGGCGATGTCCCCAGTTAGTTCCTTGGGCAGCTGAGGATAGGGAACCTGAAATGGCCCTATTCTATAGCCATACTGATGAATATCTTGCCTCTCACCATAGAAGATTCATCTGGCGATGGATGGAGATAGAGACAGAGACCCACACTGGAGCACAGGACTGAGCTCCCAAGATCCCAATGAGGAGCAGAAGGAGAGAGAACATGAGCAAGGAAGTCAGGACCATGAGGGGTGCACCCACCCACTGAGACACTGGGGCTGATCTGTTGGGAGCTCACCAACGCCAGCTGGACTGTGACTGAAAAAGTATGAGATAAAACCGGACTCTCTGAACATGGTGGAAAATGAGGGCTGATTAGAAGCCAAGGACAATGGCACTGGGTTTTGATCCTACTTCATGATCTGGCTTTATGGGAGCCTAGCCAGTTTGGATGCTCACCTTCCTAGACCTGGATGGAGGGGGGAGGACCTTGGACTTTCCACAGGTCAGGGAACCCTGATTGCTCTTCGGACTGGAGAGGGAGGGGAAGAGGAGTGGGGGGAGGGGGACAGGAGTGGGAAGAGGGGGAGAGGCGTGGGAGGAGAGGGAGGAAAATGGGAGGCTGGGAGGAGGTGGAAATTTTTTCAATAAAATATAAATGAAATAAAAAAAAGAAAAACCACTCCAGGTCCCAGACTTCTGTCTCCTTCTTCACTGAGTATGTCTGAATGCAGAACGCAGTTTAAATCTGTCCTGTGACTCACTGCTTGCCTGGTAAGGGTGGATTTTATACAGATGACCCAGTTCGGCTGCACAAAAATAATATAAAATAAAATAAAAATCCAATCCCTAATTGTTTCTAAAAACAGAGTTCAAAACAATCCCACTACTTATCAGTGCAGGCATAGATAAACAGTATTTGCATATGAAATAGACCAACATATCCTAATTAGAGAGATCTTGAGAAGATTGGAAAACAAAAGATGCAGTTTGGAATTTCCAGTTCAACAGCACTTAGGTAAACAGGCATCCAAAGTAGAGGAGAATGTGAATGAGTAGGCAAAGAAAATATGAGAGAAAGAACAGGCAAGGTACTTCAGCTGCCAGAACGCTTGCCTAGAGTGCACACAGCCCTGGGTGTGATCCCAGCCCTGTCTCCACCAGGCACTATGACCTCAGCGGAGGTGGAAGTAGGAGGCTCAGGAAATCGTGGTCCTCGCCATCTATACAGCAAGTCTGAGGCCAGCCCGGGCTACATTTTATATAAACTATTAAATATGAAAGCACCTTATAAAAACTTATAAAACAAACCATGTAGGCAGAGGCAGGTGGATCTCTGCGAGTTCAAGACCAACCTGGTCTACAAGAGCTAGTTCCAGGACA